CTACTAACAGACGGTGATGTGATATCCGAGATATGGATAACCTGGAATCGCTTGTTACTAACAAATATATAAGTCATGTTTCAAAGTATTGGAGGATTCGAATTAATGTAGATTGTTACGGCTTTGACATTAAGCCACTAAATTATTTTAGATAATTTATGAGTGATCTATATCGGTCGTTTACATAAAAACAGTATAATTGAAAGAGCATGTTTAGTGAACCGGAAATGTTATATCCTTTGTGCAGGTTTGTATTAGTTAGTTTGCAAATGAGCTCATATTTTTTGGACCGAATGTCTAGAAGCTTTTTTGCAATTCGATTTTTAACATATTTTTGGATGGAAAATTTGTTAAAAGTACTTCAAATATGAACTAGTTATTAAAAGGATGAAAATGTCAAAATCGTCAGAAACATAGTTGTGCTCAATTAAAATAAAATAGGGCTTGGCCATACATTTCCAAACATGTAGATAATTAATAATTATATAATTATTTTAGTTTATTCATTATTTTGTTTAAAAATTGGAATTATTAAGTTATAATTCTTGATGAATGGAAAGGAGCTTATAAAAGTCTAATTTTAATGTAATATGGACATGGCCAGTCATCAGTCACCCTTGCGTGCAAAAGGTTTAAAATCATAGAGATATAATAATTTTTTGTATTAATCAGAGTAGAGTGGTGAAATATTGCTAGACATCATGAGGGTGTGAATGTGTGGGTATGACAAGCTGCCATGGACTAGTTTTCGACTCAGCTACGAGTCTTGGCAGATGGTCTAGTCAAAATTTCAAATCTGAACTCAAAGAATCCAAATTCTATAGAAAGTTCATTGTTTTTTACGAATAGACAGTAGAAATATCTGTTTTATAGTACCCAGGTCCACCAATCCCGTATTCGGATCCGATCGGATCCTATGCCGGATTCTATCGGAATCCGACGATCCGACAAAATCCTATAGGATTCCTGGTGACGGAATCACTTCGGATTCCGTTGTGGTCGGATCCCATCGGATCCAACATCGGATCTCACAATTTCCAACAAACGAATCTAGACGGATCCGATAGGTGACCATAAGGCCATCATAGAAAATAGCTAAAAACGCCGCTCTTCAAATTTGCAGCAAGTGACTGAAAATTCTCCGTACGGAATCCGATGCAAATCCGTCACCAGGAATCCTATCGGATTCTGTCGGATGATCGGATGATCGGATCCTATAAGATCCGATCGGATCCAATGTTGGATTGGTTGACCTGGGATATTGTGTCTGATACATAAATAGATATTGTAACTATAGTTTCGAACTTTCTCGTGGTTCAGGATCTTCAGGTAGGTCAAGCACTGCAATATTTCATAAACTAAAATGAAGAAGAGAAAATTTCTTTTTGATATTCAATTTAACAACGTAAAGTAAAGGAGAGAATATTTTATTTATAGTATGTTGTGCATGATACGTAAAGAGATGCTAAGAATTTAGTGCCCATCTTTCTCAAAAATTAAATCTACAGGTAGCACAAGCACTGCATAAATTTCTAACAAAGAATGGGTGTGGATATCGATGTGTGATGAATATAATGCGCGTACCCATACACACACCAACCCACCTCTTGTGATCTCTGCAATGTATGATAGTTTCCTATGCATCTGAATTCTTGCAAAAAAGAACCATCAAGTCGTTTACTTAATTCATCAGCTGATTAAATTGATGACTCGATTTTATCCAAATATGTAGTCATATTCGAGTTTGCCGCAGAATCAAATTCCTCATGAACTCGTTTGAGTGGGTAGTTAGTCCTACACTGGATGCCGTAAATGAATTATAAAGTAATTCACAAAATATAATTACAAAATAATTCAAAATATTTATGAATTATTATATATATATATTTATCTATACCTGTAACTATATACGTGGCTCACCAAGGCCCATGTAGATAAATCACAGAGTAAAATCAGTCACAGATCTTGAGGGTGTGGGTGTAGACTAAAGAAAATACCCACACCCAGGGGTGGCTCTTGAGGATGAGTGTGGATGCGGGTGAGAGTGTTATAATCACACCCACGCCCACACCCAAGATTTTTATCAAAAAAAATCAATAAAAACTAGAAAAAAAATCTGTACCGGGCCGGTAGAAAAATATCTGTTTCGATCGACCGGTCGCCGGTACCGGTTACAACTCCGGTATGTAATATGATTACGTTTTGGATCGACGGAGTAGTACGATAAATATCAAGACCGAGGGTAGCGGTAACGCTACTCTTGCAATTCGTCACAGCACCTTCATCGCATTTACCTCTAACACATCACATAACCTGGTTCTCTTTTCATTTCTATATAAGAGAAAAGGCATGTCTTCTCCATCCACTGATTGTAACAATTCAAAAATTTCGTGATTATATTTTAAAGATTCCTGAAGGGGAGAATCTACAATCACTTAATAAAACGATGACTCAACTGATGCACTCGCAGAAGGGTGTGGGTGTGGGTGTGCCTAACCACAACACACCTACACCCTAGTCCGGATTTTCAGCATAAGTCTCACAATGATATAGTGAACACATAGGTGTGTGAAACTGGTCTGGAGTGATTGTTTATAGTGGAGAAACAGACATGCGAAAACGTGATCCTGTCACGAAAATGGGATTTCATCGCGACACATATTTCTGCGGCGCAAAGACAGCTTTGAATATTTTTTCCAGGTTTCTTTTTTTTGGATACTGTATCATCTAGTTTATCAATCTGCTACAAAGCGTGTTTTTTTATCCCTGCTGTTAAATTGAATTTAGCACTTCTGTGCAATTGACTAAACATGACGTTCCGTTTTGTGTGATTCCGCAACGATGTGTATTTTTGATCGTAAAACACAAACAGCATTGGTAAACCTAAGAAAAACTCTCATACTTTTCAAGAGAAATCAAGCCAACATAGACTGTATGGAGACGCAGACTTATTGGTTTCCATATGACCGAGTTATAGAAAGCACATGGTAAAAAAACGTCATTCTGCCACGCTGGGACACGCTGAAAAGCCACTTAGAAACTTGGATTCCTAGACCTCGAATACCTTTGCTGCCAGTCTGACGTTTGTGTAAAATAAAGTGTTTTTGACCGTTGACGTGCAATATACAAACAAAGTCATTTTAATTCTTTTCGTATGATCTTCCCTTCAATCGAGAGAATATATTCTATTAGAAACAAATTAACAAAATTTATAAAATTGCAGTATACATAAAATGTATGCTACCATTCGAAAGCTGTCTTTCGTCTTCTTCAAATTGACCACATGATTAACGAAACGTTTCTAATATTCATGAACCATTCATTCGCCGAGCTATTGAACTTTCGTTATCTGCGGTCGAACATGGAAATTGTCCATTTGGTGCTTGTCTTGTTTCAGAGGATGGCCAAATATTACTGACTGCCGAAAATACAGTTCTTACACCTAATACTGATTCTACTCGCCATGCTGAATTGAATCTAATTAGTATGGCCACACAAAAATTTAGTGAAGACATTCTTGAACAATGTACATTATATACTAGCTGTGAACCATGTTTAATGTGTACAGGTGCTTTTCGTTGGAGTGGTATTCGACAGTTGGTTTACGCTCTTTCATATGAAAGACTGGAAGTAAGTACACAAATAATAAATGAGAAAACTTCGGATTTCATCCGAGAGTTATGTGTACTGCAAAAAGTATATGAGATACATAAGTCATTCCACAATATCTGAACTAGAGATGAGCGGTATTAGGTATTAGTATCATACCGCACGGTATGCGGTAACAGATAGCTATACCGCACTCCCGCATTGCTGTAAGAAGAAGACTTCTGACAATGATTTCCGGAGATATCTCTTATAACTCTTTCATTCGCGTTAAATATTGGTAGAAATTCTGGAAAACTAGGCAAGTTTCGTTCTGTTATTCTCTTGTCAAAAATGAGTTGAAACTAAGTAGATCCTATCACATTAGCTTTACATGTTATTTGCGATCTTCCAAATAATAAAAATTCATCTCATCTGCTAACATTCAGTGACGGATCGCCACGAAACCGCTTATTACTCGAGCTAAAATTTTTTGGTTGATACACCACTGCTAAAATTCATTTGGCTTTTTCGTCAAGCTTGATATCTGTGATATGCCGCACACCACTTAAAATTCTTTTTCATACAAAAAATGTTTTACAACTGATTCGTAAATTTCAAGTAGCATCACATTTCTCAACAAAAATAACTGAATCGTCTGATCAAAAAACTATCTCTCCTTATCTTCATCTGAGACGTCATCATTTTCTCAAAAATTTATACCTGCATATATTCATCCGAAAACTGTCTGATACCTTAGTTTTCAAACCACACAAAGAAGATATTAGTAGTGCAATAGGTATATAAAGATATGAGTTTTTGTACTATCATGATGCTTTTTGTAAAATTATGCAACGTTGTGTACCAGTCGATAAAATCATGTATTCTTAAAATTTCTTTTCATGCATGTGCTTTTAAGTTTCTGAGGGTGGGTGTGGGTGTGGTTGTGGGCATGAATACTGTATTCACATAGGACCCAAACCCACACCCACCCTCAAGATGGACTCGATAGGTTTACAAGATCAACCTATTAGTACTCTACTGGAAGGTATCAGAAGTGCCACTATAAAATGAATTTTTGAGTTAATGCCGATTTCAGATCTTTTTTAGAATCAGTTTTTGATACTGAATCTAAAAATAATAGTTTGGAAAGGTCTTAAGAACAGGAATATAGTGATTTTTGCATTTTTTGTCGAAAAATCTGGTTTTTAGCAAAACTCAGATTTTTAAGTTTTTTTTGCAATTTTTGACTACAAAAATGCGTCAAAAAAGAATAAAAAGTAGTTCATCGTGACCAGCAACTCACACTCTATCAACCCATTTATAAAGACATTAAAAATAAATTTCACTTGATTTTTGCATTGCGTGCACCTTATATTATGTATGGCTTTGAAGCTCGTAAAATTCTTTATTAAATAGTATATAGCAAACGGGCTTTTATTCGACTCTGATAGAAAAGTTTCTTAAGAAAACGCCGCTAGATCGTTTTTCCCTATATAGAGAAATCACAGGGAAATGTCAGTATTTTCGCAATAGCTCAGGAATGGCTCGACCAATAGGGCTCGTTTTCGAATTCGACCGAGATCTTGATGAGATTAAACTGTGCGTAAGGTTCTATGACAATCGGCTTAGCCTTTCAGGAGTCATTGTGTAAACGGCCGGACACACTGATCGATTCTACATGTGTACTCACTTTTCGAGTACGCAAAAAGGAAGAATTAAAAGTTCGAAAAAACACGATTAAACAAGAGATTATTAAAAAAAAGAATTCTGTCTATTATATTTTATACCAGCAAGTTATTATATTAAATCTGTCTTTATCAGAAAAAATCTATAGATAAATCAAAAATTAAAAAACAATTAAATTTCTTTCTTGATTGAGAGCATTGAGACAAAGATAATATTCAACATTGAAAACACCGTATGATGAAAAAAGATCGATTACTAAATATAAGATAAGAGAATAGTAAATTTTGAAATGCTTTTTTTAGAAATATGCAGATGCTGATGGTCCCTTTTCGTGTCGACCATTTTTATCATCACCACAATTTACAGTCATTGGTCCTATACTTGAAGACGAAGCTGTCAAAATTCATCAAACCTATTGGTCTCGATTCACATCATAATCTACAACTGTTCTTTTTCATTTAAATTGAAACGAATTTATTGTTGCAGCAAAAGAATAAATAATATCATGCAGTTAGTTTATAAACAAAGGTGTAACTCTGCAAATGGATAGGGTGATTCCATATGAAACGTACCACGTTTACATCAACCTTCTCAGAATTTGCTCAAACCTTGAGGGTTTGTAGAGCTCGACGAACTGATCATTTTGATATAAAAATATCCTAGATTTGCATCTAGTTTGACCTAGAACCACCTATAATAAGGTTACATGAAAATGTCGAAAATCGGCAAAATCGAGTGGGTAACTAAACGTATTTTGCCTGTTTTATTGCCATTAAAAATCGAAACCCCAATTATTTACACATATTCTGATAGCCCAGCTTTCGCTCTATCGACCTATATACAAACGAAATAATTTGGCTCAATTAAATGAGCCTGCAACAGTGCACACCTTCGTAAAATTGATCTCATGATAGCAGAGTCCTGCCAAATTCGGATGAATGGAGCTATAGTGGATTTTGCAGAGCTTCACTTGCTCTATCTTCTGGTATATAAGGCTCATCACCTGATCTCGATTTTCATTCGTTAGAGAGCTCAAAACATTAATCTACGTCCATATTCTCTTTCTCGTAGAGAAGAGTCCAGTAAACATAAATTGTCTGATTTCCTGTGTGTCCGCAGGATCAAAAAACATTGAAAATCGATTTTTCGAAAAAGACATTTCTCGGGGTATTTCAATGCGCGGAGTTCGAATTTGAGGTCTGTTGGGTGACTATGGTTAGGGGTCGGTTGATGAAGAGCAGTGCTGTCACCTTATCTGCTTTTTTAAGAATATCAAGTCATTGACTTTCATTCATATTTGTAATCAATAATTACCATCTGAATGATCATTTTTTGAATTTTAAAAACAAACTTTAATCAATAATGAGTCATATTATTATTTCGTCCGAGTGCAACTTCTATTATATAAATCCTGTATTCTAGTGGCTAAAAACGCATCCAATGTATATATTTTATATTTATTTCATTCTTTATCTATTTCTCTTTTGTCATTAATCTTATGATTTGTGTGACTCATACAGATCAACATATATATTCTTTTGTATGTTTGTTGAATGAATGAATATAAAAAATCAACGTGAGTTGTGTAGATATTTATAATATAAAGGCAATGAAAACGAGTGGTGAAGATATTATTACTAACGAAGATAGTATTACTGATGAAAATAAACCTGAAGTTTTAACAATTGCAAAATCACGAGCATCTTGAGGGTGTGGGTGTGGGTGCGTGTGTGGGTTAAGTGCTATATCCGTCACAAATCCACAGTCAGACACTAACCTACACGTCACATCCACACCCACACCCACCCACACCCACCCACACCCACCCACACCCACCCACACCCACCCACACCCACACCCTCAACGAGTATTTCGTTCATTCTTTAACAAAAATTAACATTCAGTAGAGTTAGTTGTAAGAAATACAAGTAATACATGATATAAACTATTCAGTTGATATAACTTCTCGTTGAACAAGATGTTAGTGTGTCTGACATTACCAGCGGTGCTGAGGGTGTCAGTGTTTTTAGTATTTCAATGACCAGTGATACTGAATCTATTGGTGTGCACTGAGCATTACTGTTGGAGACAAAAGTATCGATTTTTCTAGTAATGTCACTGATATCGCACATCCCTAGAAGTATCACGTATCATTTACTAGGTAAGTGGTATTAGTTACTAGTTACTGATAACAGTAATGGTAATATGACACTCCTATTCTAGATGGTACTCTAATGCAACACTGCATTAACACCCACAACGCTAATAAACGTAAATAACAATTCTGTTCCTTGTTACCTGTACACAATAAAATTGATCTTTAATGGAAGAAATCCTGGCTGATTTCATCGTTGTGGGAGGTGGTACAGCTGGGTGCATTGTAGCTGCAAGATTAGCCGAATATGGCTTTAAAACTCTACTATTATCGAGTGGTTCGAATGATACGACAAACCTATTGATAAAACAAAAGTCTCTCTTTACAGAACTCTTGCAAGCTTCTCACCTCAAACATTATCTGCCTCATATGCCTTTACCAAATCTAAATAATCGGACATTGAATCTGATTGTCTGGAATAGTCTTGGAGGTAGTAGCATTAATTGGGGTGGAATGGAACGAATGATGAAAAGTGAATGTGACTTATTTGTTAATGCCAGCGGCGATCAATCTTTTTCTTTCGAACATATGTCGCTGTATTATAAAAAGGTTGAAAATTTCACAACAACGGCACCATTTCCAGTTGACGGAATTCATGGTGATAATGGTCCAATTCATATGATACATGTTGATGAGCCTGCGTTCTCCCGAGTATGGAAGAAGGTTGCTGATGAACTCGGCGAGACTTTCAGTGACGATCTGGCAGGTTCTATTGATTACGGTTTTTCATTCGAGCCATCATCATTCGTAAACGAACTGAGAAGCTGGAGTGCTTCCGAATATTTAATTCCTGCTTTGGACCAATATCCAAACCTCACCATGATAACAGGCGCTACTGTAACCAAATTGAATGTGAATCCAATAACTAAGCACATCGACAGTCTTCTGTTCGTATCCTCTAACGGTTGCTTTCGCGCTGTTGCTCAAAAAGAGTATATTTTGTCTGCCGGCACATTTTTCAGTCCTCATTTACTTCTACTATCGGGTGTAGGCGATCCTGAACTTCTTGAGCTAAATAACATACCTGTAAAACATATTTTAAAACAAGTTGGAAAGAATCTAACTGACAATGGTGTTGTCACTGTTGAATACCAAACGAAGGGCTTGCCAGTTGGCCAATGTATACCCATTGCTTTGGTTAATCGCCAAGTGAAAACTACCGATACGAATGCCGATTTATTCTTTGTTCTACAAATGGATCATGCAACAGAACATCTTTATATATTGATCTTCAATGGTTTACCAAAATCACGCACCGGTTCTATTTCATTGTACAATGCCAACCCACTCGTACCGCCTAAAGTAACTTTGAATTATCTTGATGATGAAAAAGACATTGAAGCATTTATAGACGGCATCAATTATATGCGACGAGTAATGTCCACAAATGCAATAGAAGAAAGTGCTAAAGTGACTGAAATTTCGCCAGGCCTTCAAGAGAGAAACTTGGATTCATATATTCGTAACACATTGGAACCTGCACATCATTTCATCGGTACGTGTTCAATGGGACAAGATGCAGAGACATCAGTGGTTAATAAAGACTTCAAAGTACATGGATTGGATAATCTTCGCATAGTAGACGCATCAGTGTTTCCAACAGGCTTTGTGTCCAAAGCAGGTCCGTGTTTAACTGTCTATGCTTTAGCTGAGAAGGCTGCCGATGTTTTGAAACAGGAGTATTCTCGATAATTAAAAGCTTTCTAGCCTAGATTTTTGCTTATTTTTACGAACATCTGGAGATCTTTGTTGAAGAACCTTTGCAATTTATTTGTCCGCAAGATATGCGCAAGAAAAACAACTGTCTTTTAGTCGGATTTGTATTATATTCACGATCTTTTCACAATGCAATGTTGTCATGTCCTATATTCACATATTGCTATGAGTTAGTGCTAAACATCGGCGTGGCCACTTGAGGGTGTGGGTGTGGGTGGGTGGATGTGCCTTAGTATGAGTAGTGTATTGTAATTCCACACCCACACCCTCTCAGGTACAAAATGAGCAAATGGGGTACAGGTGGCAGCCCTGATAGGAGCCTTTTTTCTATAATAATCTTCTATATTTGATTAAACTGAAAAGCAGTAAAAATCAATAGTATTAATATCAATCGATTATGTTTGACTGATCGATTCAGATTTGATTAGTAATTTGCAATAGCTTGTACTCTGTGATGAGTGAAAGTATTTGATAGATTAAAACATGATGATCTATTGTTTATTTTATTCGCCAACTCACTAGTTTTAATGCTATAAAATTATATTAAGCAAAAGCAAATTAAGAAGTTTTCAAAATAATAAAATGAGATAATTTTATCTATCTTAACAACGTTGACTATGACAAATGATATTTCTTATTGATTGTATTAATTGAATTTCAAAATAAAATTGTACATATGAACACCCTATTACAGAGATGGAACCGGTACCAGTAACCGGCCGGTTCGGTCCGATACCTGTCCGAACTTTAGACCGGTATTTACCGGTCTACCGGTACCGGTCGTCAAAAACCCGGGACGGTTTTATCTCTGCCCTATTATCTAACATGAAAGAATAAAATCGAGGTATGAAATTATAGCCATAACAGATGACAAAAGACTAATTGTTTAGTTTGATAATTCTTAATGGTATTTTATATAAGATAAAATTCATCGGTGAAAATTGATAGAATCATTCTACTTGTAAAATCAAATATCGTTTTCTAAGTATACCCAACCATTGGTTTTCTTATTATCGCCTTCGTTACACATGAAGAAATATTGTTATTTGTATTTCGGATGATTGCTTACGAAGACGAAATGCATAAAGATAAGAGGAAAGTAAACGATACGTGACAGAAATATTGTGTGTATCGACGAAGGCCTCTTTTGCATGTTAGTCGAATAACTTGAATAAAAGACATATTTTAGTTAAACAGAACAAACTACTGTTTTTTGAACTAATCTGACATTAACTTTTACCTTTGTTTTATATATTTATTTTCCATAGAGTGAACATTGTCAATACAGAAAACAATGGCACATTTATCTGAATCATCTAATAATGACGATATTAATATGAATAATCTTCATATTGAAGGTAAGAGTTTCGAGATTGAATATTTCTGTAGCATCCATTATAACATTCCGAACAAAAAATAAGCATTTCAATACATCCACTTTTATATAATAAAACTTTGCTTAACAACCCTTCGTGAGCATTTAGAAAAAAAGCAACGAAAACATGTTTTGAATGACGTACAATATAACATTAAATTACTATGATACAATACAATAAAATTCCTCTTTCGTTTGAATCTAGACAAGAAGAACGACGTGCGCCGATCAAGTGTACTTGATGAAGGAACATTGAGGGAAAATGAGAGTGAATCGAAACATGAACAGCGTCTTGATGCTCTAAAAAATGCGTATGGAATAATGTTAAATAGTGTTGGCGAAGATGCAATGCGTCAAGGTCAGTTAATTACTTCAACTTTAATACTAAGATTAAATCTTTATATTATTTATAACAGGTCTATTGAAAACACCAGAACGTGCCGCTAAAGCAATGCTTTTTTTTACTAAAGGATATGAACAATCAGTACGAGATGTTGTTAGTGATGCTATATTCGATGAAGAATGTGATAATATGGTAGTTGTTAAAGATATTGATATATATTCACTTTGTGAACATCATTTGTATGTTAAATAAATCTTTAGTTTTATTACATTAATTTATTTAATAGGATACCCTTCTTTGGTAAAGTATCGGTAGGTTATTTACCCAATAAACGTGTTATTGGACTGAGTAAAATAGCAAGGTCAATATATAAAATATTACTAAAGATTAAAAAATATAATTTATAATTATTATAGAATTGTCGAAATCTTCAGTCGTCGTCTTCAAGGTGAATATATTAAAATAAAAATTGAAGGTTGATCTATGCTATTTATTTTTAGTGCAAGAACGTTTAACTCAACAGATTGCTCAAGCTATAGAAGAAGCTGTTCAACCATTAGGTGTTGGTGTTATCGTTGAATGTGTACACATGTGCATGGTTATGCGTGGAGCAGAAAAAGTCAACTCACGTACAACAACATCAGCTATGCTTGGTAACTTTCGTCACAATGCAAAAACACGCGAAGAATTTTTAATCATTGGACGCAACAGCTCTTTTTGACATTTATTTTTATATCGATTCAAATATGAGTAGTTAGAATATTATTTATAAATTGAAAATTTCGTACGAAATGCGACATAGCGTTTCTCCAGGTTCAATATTTAGTTTATCTGTAAGATATATAAAGGGTGTCCCAGAAATACTGAAACGATTTTAAAATTTATCCTTCTAAAGCTTAACAAAAGCAGAGTCTTTGAAGCATTGGCACATTATTGGACATTAGAGAACGGCAGGGTTGCCCCGATCTCGGCGGGATCGGGATTGATGACGTGACAGGGCCGGGACTGAAAATCCCGAACGCTGCTTCAACGGGATCGGGATCGGGACAGGATAAAACTTTTCGGGGCTTTGTTAATTATATCTTATCGAAGTGCAATTCTTTTTTATTCAAAAATTCAATATAATCTTTCGTAAAAATAAAATTAAAATACACGTGTACACATGTCATGAAAAACAATGTTCGTAAGATAAATAAATAAGTAGGATTGAAGAAACAGCAAGTTTTGATCACTCTTTGAGTTCATCTTCACTTGATACGGTGTTACTATTTCCAGTTCGATGCTTCTTCGATACTGAAGGTGTCTGCTATTCACCTTCAAGCTCGTTGCTCGACTTATATTCGTTGATTGACTTTCGTTCCTGTCTTTGATCATATAGATTTGTCCTTATTGATCTTGTCTTCGATCTTTCTCGTTTCACTTTTAATGTATTGAAATGTTTTATCTGTCTCAAATATGCATTCTCTTTTCGGCTTGATCGATTAGTTTGATATAGCATCTGACCGAAAGAACTCAGAATATTATAATAAACGCTTCAACGTCAGCTTTCTATCAGCAAATCGTAATACTATGGAATTCTATCGAGTTGCGTCTTATTCTACCTATGCCTTGAAAAACTATTTCTGGTAGATCCAAAACAAATCGGGTTTAAACGGAACTGGGACGGGTTTCATCCAAGCGGTACATAATCGGGATTGGGACGAAAAAAGCCGGTCCCGCCGCTCCCTATTGGACATCCTTAGTGCTACATAACTACAAAGTTTCAGGCCTATAGTTTGTACTATAGATGAAAATCTGTAGCAACACCGACATATACTATTTTTTCAATTTTCCAGGTTACCCTCGGAGTGTGCAACAATATTTTTGATTTTATTAATATCTCCGCTGTGGTATATGATAGAGTTGTAACCGGTCGGTCGACCGGCATAATTTTTTACGAGCTTATTATTAAATATATAGGTAGGGGTGTGTGAGTGGATGTTAGTGCAATAATAAAAATAAAATCGACGTCCACACGCATACCCTCTTTTGATGTCGACAGAACTTCTATCGACATCAAAGAAAAGTATATAGAATTTGAGAAACGGACAATCATTGTGATGGCAGTTGGTTATGTTTCCTATCAATATAGATACCAGTAGTTTGTTAAAATTTGCTGCGAACAGTGGTAGAAATGCTTTGCTATACAAAGCCACATTGATATGATTAAAAACTTTCTTTTTAACCAAATCCGCTCCCCCCTCCATAACAAAAGAGCCGGGGCCTTGTCTTGCGGTTTCTCACTACACACTTTTCTGTGAAAAAGTCCCCGTACCCTATAGGGCAATTTTTTCCGATTGTTTCTCCAGAGGAGTCTATTATTTCGGTGCGTCTTAATACAGGAGGACCTTTCATTCTGGAAGGGTGGGGGAGACGGTTGATAAAACTAAGACTAAATAGGAAATTTGACTTCTAGTTTTCTAAAATAATCATATTTTTTTGTATTTTATTAAAAAAAATTATATTTTGCAGTATTTTTATAAAAAAAGATGAATAAAAATTAGAGAAAATCTGTGCTGGGCCGGTTGAAAAATATCTGTTTCGACCGAGCCGGGCCTGCCGGTTGCCGTTACTGGTTACAACTCTAGTTCTTAAAGCGATTGAACTATTGTTGTACCATACGAATAGAGAGTACACCCTCGCCTATCATGTTGCATATGTTGTTGGCTGCTTCCGTTGCTTTGTGGTTCAGACGGAATTATTGGAGTAAAAGTACTCGAATCTCTCTACGAGAAAGATTCATTTTCAGTTCATGATCAGCGTCCATATCCATACTTTATTATCATTCGAAAGACATTCACATTCCCTTTATATACTCTTAGTATGGAAACCTCTGAAACTTTCTCGAATGTTCTAGAACTTTTTCAAAAAAACGTGAGAATTCAGGTACCAATCTAATATATGCTCAAAATTCCAGAAGCATTTCTCTTGTTATTGAGAAGATATTTATTTAACAAGTTGAACAAATGGAATCCCGTAACGCTTGGCAGAGCCCATATGCTATTTGGGATCAATATTAAAAACTACATCTAGTAATAGGGATTTCAGCAAAAATTATTTCTTGATCAGACTCGATCCCTAGCCTCCATTACTTGTTTTCTGCTGTAATTTTCATTTACTCCGCCTCAGCCAAATTTTGAGAAGTAATTTTTTCTAATAGAATCCTTATTACTAGATGTACTTTTTAACACTAATTCCAAATATCATATACTTTTTTTTCAAAAGTCAGTTTTTATCGATCACCGTCTAGAAATATCTGCCCATTTTCTAATATTTGTGAGCAGGCCCAAGTATTTCGTTTATCTGAGCGTTTTCTTCATTTTTTTTCTTCTTTTTGAAGATATATTCGAAACGAATATGACAAACTACATCAATCGATATACACCAGTCTTTGATTTATGACTTCTTTGCTTTCCCTATAAGGAGTTATGAGACCCAAAATCTGTTTTTTTGTAGGTTTTTCGAGTATTTTAGTTCTAAAACTAACCAATATTCAATTCCAAACAGTTTTTTTGTGTTTCAAGTTGGGGAATTAATTTCGCATATTACTGAATGTATTTCAGACTTTCTAACTGCATGACTAGGTAGCTTGGGATCGGCAACTGAAGGTATACCTTCCATCATCCTACATTGGATCAAGCTTTTCTTCACCAAAATTTCACTTATTCTAAATTTAATCTAAAAATTGGAATCAGTATCAAATTCCGCGTCAGATGATGCCAAATTAATTAAAATTCGAAAAAAACATTCGATGATCCTGGGGTCCCCTAAAACTGTCCGACAGACCGTGTAAAATGAAAGTCATTTCTCCACAAAAAGATGCATTTTTCTACTTAGAACTTTATACTAATTTAAAATATGTAACTTTTTTCGGAAAAAATATTTGGGCAAAAAAATAGCCTTATCGGTACTTGTACTTAGATATCCACATGCATGAACTTGTTCCTGAATTGAAAAACAGATATACCTGACAACTCAATGTTTGACGTTTTATTTGCCTTTAATACATTTTAATTAATAGATAATGTGGAACTCTGAACTGAAGAAAATTAATATGTTTTTCAAAGATCTTTTCAAAAACCTTTTTGATCGACACGCAGTTCAACGTGATACAGTAGTGTTCTGGTTGGTGTAAATGTAATCAGTGAGAAACAAGTGGTAAGCGAGAGAAAGAAGGAAAAAATTAAAGAGAGAGAAGAGAGCGAAAAAGCGGCGAATATGTAACTGACGAGTATCGCTTATATTATCACATTTCTGATACAAACACCACAAGTAAGTGAAGAAGGACAAGTAGGGTATCTTTTGGGAGGCTGTAAGAAAGACGGTCGTACTAAGGCAGATTGTTTCAGTTATTTAACAGATTGTTTTAAATTTGGTCGATAATAAAAATGTGGAAAGGTTAAGGTCTAGGGGTGGTGGCTTAGCATTAGAATTATATTAATTAAGACTTAATTCTAATACAATAAGTATTAGTATTTTCTTAACCCTAATGTTAATACACCGCCCGTGGGTAACGTCGAAACATCTATATTTACTAAAACTCCTGATACATCATAGTAACTAGGAGACCTTTTCGTGCGAGAAATAGAAGATCAAATTTCTAACGTTTTATTTTTCATGATATTATCTGTTATAGGCCAAAAAATTGAGTATAACGCTTATAAGTCGAAAATAAAGCACTATAGTGATGACTCATTTAAAATGTTGTCCAGCCTTGATAAGGCCTACTTAATGAGAAAGATCTCATCCCAAACGCGTTTTGCCATCTCAACAGATTCTTTTGGCAGTTTTATTGTATGAAAAATTTTCGTTCCTCGACTTTTCCATAAGTATAGATTCTTTCTTTCAGTTTGCTTTGGATCATTCGAAAAGAAATCTATCAATTCTTACCAATACGGCATGTTTCAGAAACTGTTTTATGAAAACTCTGAGCAACAGCTGACGAAAGAAAAGGAGATATTATCTTTCTTCAGTCGCCCAGGAGAAACAATCCTAACTAACAGATTCCGGTCCGGATTTCATCGGAATCCGGCAAAATCCGTTACAATCTGACAGAATTCGGTCGGATTTTCGACGGATCCTGTAGAATCCGAAGCTCGGAATCCGTTAGTTAGGAGTCCGGTGAAATTTCGACATGTTCCGATCGGAATTATACGGAAACGACGGAATCCGGTCGGGCGTGATTGACCTTGGTATCTAATATGTAGAAATATCTGATTGGAGCTATTGAGAAATATAGCAATTGAATTGAGTTGATAGAATTACAGGAATAATGACTGATCTGGGTCGTTGTCAATTTATAGTTGTTTGATTGGTCTCTTTAACCCTTTTCGTACCATGGCTCAGCGAATGGATGAAACTTTGCTAGGACTTTATTTTTAACATGTATTTTGTATCTTGTGAATATTTTCATCGAAACTTTTCAAAGAAATTTTGAAGTCATTTTCGATTAATACCCGTATCCCCCTACGGCACGCTAGTACTTAAAGGGTTATTAAAATGATAAATACCGTGCGAATACAAGCATCTATATGTCCTCTATGCCACAGTGGCAAGTGCACTTTGATATTGTTTCGCATTCGTAATTTATTCAGAATTTGTCAAATTCTAAAAAGTGGGGCTTATAGGCCCCGTTGGTACTTAAAGGGTTAAACAAAATAGTTTAAGTAATTTCGAAAACATGTTGACCTTCATTATGAGCTCTTCTCAGATATTTTCTGTGTAAGAATCTAGCGTTGACAAAAAGAGAAAAAAAATTACTGTACACTATTCGTTAATTTTCACTTAGTCAACATTTTGCTCCACTAGCACGTTGGAAACTTTGAGTTTTCTAGATCAACGATGTCTCACAAAATTTATGTCACTCGACGTGAAGCATTTTCAGCTGCCCATCGACTCCATTCATCTCAATTATCAGAAGAAGAAAATCGTCAAATTTTCGGTTGCTGTAACAATCTTAATGGTCATGGGCACCATTACATTTTCGAAGTGACTGTCTACGGCTCTGTCAATGAACGAACAGGCATGCTAATGAATGTTGCAGATTTGAAAAGCGAAATTCAGCTGCGTGTTCTGAATCTGCTCGATCATAAACACTTGGATCTCGATATAGAATACTTTCGAGACGGCAAAATCATTAGTACGATGGAAAATATAGCTTTTTTCATTTGGAATTTGTTGAAAGAACCACTGGAGACAAAATACAATGTGCAGCTGTATGAAGTCAAAATTTACGGCACCGAGAAGAATTTTGTCGTTTATAGAGGTGATTAAACGACATTTGAATGGATAATTAATAAACTCTACTGTATGCTATGTGTTATAGTGTATTCTATAACATATATCTCGAACGTTCTCTCCTTCCATTGATCTTCTTACATTCTTTCATCTTTCTGTTGTCTTCGCTTATTTAGCAAACCTTGACCTCTTTTTTCTTTTCTCTCTATACTATTTAATTTCGCATATACAGACTCGTATATTTTTAGAAATAAACATTCGGACGAAAGATTGATGAATTAAATCAGATCTATAACATACAGTTAGTGTTCTTTATGAGAACGAACACGTAGTAATTGGTAACCCTGACTGGACATTCACAGTAACAAATAAGAAACAAACTATTTTCAATTATTTCAGCATTAATTGAGACAGGCTCTTTATATAGCAAAGACACATCAATACTTTGATATAGTGAAATCTCTCTTGGGTGAGTACTGACGGGACTTTTTAAAATTATCTACTTCAAGGGGGTGCCCTCGTTATAGTGGTTTTTACAGATACCAGTCACAAATAT